GCCAGAAATCCTGCATCAAGCAATAGCACTAATGCAAATTTCTAAAGCAAAAGAGTAGGACTCATTTGTTCACACTACTCTACTCCTAATCTGACCATTTGTAAATTCCGTCTTTTTTAGAAGACAGCTAACAGTAATGCATATAATTAATTGAACAACACAATTTAACACAAGCTGGACAATATCACCTAGTGTGCACACTCCAGCCACTCCAAGTACAGATTCCAATTACTACATGAAAGCTAAGACTTTATGACATTTCCTACAAATGCTAATTGGCTGGTAGGTTAGGGCCCTCAGTCATGTAGCACTTCATCAATCACAAAGCTTAAACTATTAAAGATGGAAACTGTAACATTTTACTGAAAAGTTGCATTGCAAGTCAAAGTAGAATATTATATTAGCCCCCTTTACATGGTGTTCTTTTACAATAGTTCCCACAAAAGAATTTCCACAAGCTGTTGTCCTAATACGATCCAGGTCTACATCCTCTACACTGTTCTTGTCTTAGCAGCTACTGTTTCCAACACTGACACTCATAATTGAGAGTACATAACTGTTTTGTAAAATATCTACTGATTCCTAGAGGACAAAACACACATGGTATAGCCAGTGTATGAAAAAGAAAACTTGGGAGCAAAGCAGTCACAAAAGAATCATCATCCAGTTCAGCGCTTCTGCCCTTCAGCCTACAACTTGGCCATATTCATAGCACTTGCACATTCTGGTAAGAAATACATAAAGATTTCTGAGGTCTGCCCCTCTGCATGCTAAACTGACAGATATGAGGTGTAAGACTAGCTTTGCCAGGTTAAACAAGGCTATTAAAACAGCATACCCAACTTTACTGGCACTAAAATGGAATAGTGGTGCCAAAGATTCTAAAGAAAGAAATATTAAGTAATATTGCACCTCTGACATTGACATAAGTTTATTATTACTCTATGCCAATCTACCTTGATCCAAATCTGCTAAATGCATGCTGTTCCAGTGCTGGGCCTCCCTTAAGCCTGTGAATTATACTGAATAGTGTAGAGGTTTTTCAGTTTGGTCAAATATTACACCAAAACTACTGCATGGAAGGGCAAAGCATCATTAATTCATTATATATCCCTTTTTTTTTTTTTTTTTTTGCATCACATTGCCTTATGCATGTTCCTATGCTATCCCGTGGGACTCACCACAGTTGTTTTGTTGCCAATGTTTTTGTTTCTTCCACACCTTTAGTAGACAGCCCTCAAGAGAACCTGTTCTGTCCTCCAAGTATAACAGCTATCCAGAAAGGAGAAGAAAAAACTCTAACTTTGAAAGGGAGCTTTTCTGGTTTTGGTGTGGTCTCCTTTGTATTTTTCAACACGGCAGATACAAGTAATATAAACAAGGGAAAAAATATAGAATTAGAAATTGCATCTTTCAAAGTTACACATTCCTTCCTGCTCCGTTTCAGGTTATTACTGAGAGAAATATTTTTAAGCACTATATACAAATTCTTCCCTCTTCAATTACTTGAATACAACGATTAAAACAAATATTATTTTAGGCTGAGTGTAGTACTTCAGGCTGAGTGGAGAGAGATGTAACCGTCTATCTTGCAACAACAAATGAAGGCACTGAAATACCTGATTATTCACAAGTCCTCATATCAAAAGTAAATTAAAATGCAGAGATATAAAATTTGTCCCTGCACAGAAAAAAGAAAATGGGAGATAAGCATTAGAATATTATGGTCAGAAGAACCTTATGGCTAGGGAGAATTTCGGAAGAAGAACTAGAAGCACTTCCTTCATTTTCAGAAGGGTTTTCTTGAGAGTAAGATGGCAACCAGGGCAATATCCTGAAAGAAGGTATGTAAAGGTAGGGCAATCCACTGAAGGGCCCAATAATTGTTTAACCTCTTAACTGTCATATGAAATGGTCCATGTTGCTTTCCACTCACTGAATTCTCCACATATATGTGCACGATAAGAAGAAATAAATTTCTAATTCTCAACATGCAAATGTCTGGCTGCCAGCACTTGAAGTGAGAAAAATAGTGGAAGAAGTGGCCAAAAGGAGGTCAGAAGGAAAAGATGAGCAAGAACTGGAGAAGTGCAAGAGGTATGTGCAATCCAGCAAGGAGTAAAGGATAAAAGCTTAGTTAGATTAAAGTAAATTATTGCAATCTATATATATTACATACTTTTCCATCAAAATTTATTCTTATATATGGTTGCTATTGGAAAAGTATGTTATCAAAATCAGAAAGAAAAGAGGTACATCTGACAGTCATTTTCTTAAAACACAGCATCCACTACTAGACTATCTGAAAATCCCTGAAAAGTGACTGTTTAAAAATATTACAATCAGAATACTACAGTATTAGGAATTACTACTATACATAGTCCAGCATATTTCTGAAATAACACATGACTGAATGAACAATCTGCCTACGGTAAAAAAGCTGTGCTCCCTTTGCCTTTGACAGAACGTAAAGAGTCTATGAGGTACGAATGCCCCTGGGACACTTAACTTTTTGCAGGGAGAATAAAATTATCTAGAACAGAAAGACACTAATGCTAGGAAAGCTTCTTGAAAAAAAGTAGACAGACACTGAACATCTTCCCTCCTACATGCAAGTATTGTGGTCCAGACATGAGATTGCATCTTCTGCCAAGGATGCTGGAAAGCTCAAGGAGGCTAACCATGAGAAGCCATGATCTCATGAGCACTGCCAAAATGAAGTTGAACACTTGGGTTAACTAGACAAGTAGATGTCCAGATGCATTTAAAAGCCTGGATTTCCATTGGTGACAGAGAATTTTCTACTTTGGAACTGTATATCAGACACATGAAAAGTAAACAGTGAAAATATCTTTTACTGTATCACACTCTATACTTATTTAAATAACAAGAGTGAGTAAAGCAGGACAATATTTCAATTAAATTTTTCTTTAGTCAAATTATCTGTGAGTGAATTTATCTCCAAACATATTGGAATGAAGGAACAAGTAAAATAATGATTTAAAGCTGAAAATGTGACCTAAGGGTAATTTTAAAAATGTATTTTCAAAATATAGTATTCTTTTCCTATAAACAAAATAATGGTGTAATGATGATCTGATATTAGCATTTTGGGGCATGCTACCATCCATATATTAAGATAATGTGGTTATTAAAAATGCTTCAGAGAAGCAAATCTATGCATAACTTTTATGTGATGTAAATGAACTATTTTCTCTTTTTTTTTTTTTTTTTAAGTAATCATTACAATCCATTCTTCTTTTAAGAAAACCCAGCATTTAGCCCGTAGCAGAAAAACTGAACTTGAGAAGTCCCCTGATAAAGCATATTTACCAGAATAAAAACCTCAAAAAAAATTCAAGTGCTACTTCCAGTTTTAAAGAATCACTTTAGTACTAATTCTGATTTTGTACCTAGTAGTTAGCAGGATTTATCATATTGTGTACTAGAGCTCACAAGGTTACAAGGTGTTTATTCTATGATTTAGTGAAGAGAGAGAGTGTACTTTGAGAGTGATTATTTTCATTAAGAATCAGGTGCAAAAGAGCCAAGACCATCTGCAAGCCCTAATAAAATAGCCATGATGTATTAAAACCTGAAAAACATTATGTCGCACATTTCTGAGCACACAGACATGACAGATAGTACTGACAGCTCTGTGATAAGTTAAATTCATCACACAATTTTGATCAATGAATCTGCATTCCTCCCACTGAGCCATTTTCTCAAGAGCTAAATACAAGAACAACTATAAATTGTTGGTTTGTTTGGGTTTTCTCATAATACGAATAAGAAAAAATGCATTATTTTCTTCAAAATTCTCCAGTGATGTGCAAAACTAATTAGCATGCAGCACAAGATAAAAGGCTGGAAGTTTGCTATCTTTAAATCACCAGCATTGCTAACAAGGCAAATATTCAGAAATTAGGTTAAAGTCGATGAGTACCTATATTCCAGTTTTGATAGGCCTTATTTCCTGAGCCTGAAAAATCAGTCTTAGTTTCTGGAAATTAAGGACTTGGCTTTTTAAAGACTGTATTTAGCCAATTGCAGACAGAAGCACAGCTCAACCATGTGAACCCTATATGAATCCTGGAGGAAACCCACAATAGCATTAACTACCTACATAATAATAGAGAGTAAGGAGTAAAGATTCTTTGAATGGCTGTAAATGGAGGTAAGAAGTAATAGTAAAATAAATTTGATGCCAGCAATTTTTTATCCGTTTATCTGTATGCTCAGAAGTGCATCTATATATAATAAAGAGAGATATACACAACACAAGCAGAACATACTTGCTAGCATAAATATTTTTGTGAGTGGGAGAAAAAGGGTAAATAAACACTTCACTACTGCATTCAGAACTTTTGCAGAGCTGCTTTTTCGGGAAATCCCCTCCCTACCCTCCCAAGTGGAAACTATAATGATTAAATCCAACTACCCAAAGAGAGTGAATGCAGTTAGCTAAATTTGTGGAAAATTAGAAACAAGACTAATAAGGCTGTTTGGAGACAGCCTCCCTTCTCAATGTCTTTAGTTCATAGGAAAAGCAGATAACTGACTTAACTTAGGTTCTTTTCCCACTCTCCTCCTCCCCTCCAAAAAATATCTTTAAAGGAAAAAAGCAGTATCCTAATCTTTTAGCAGTCCCACAGATTTTATTTACATTATTTGGAAATAGTAATCAGTGTTAGTAAGGATAATCCCTCATGTGGAGGAATAAAAAGTTTTGTCAGACTTTTTAGGACTTCCGTTTAACCAGTAATTTTGTGGAAACTGCAGTATTTAATATATTTGTGATATAATTAAGATATAATACTATAGAAATGATCCCATGGAAAACAGTAACACATTTTATGTTAGAGAACTAATTGACTATTACAGACTTACTCCTTGCATTTTTTTAATATATTAAAAGTAATACACTCTAAGAAATAAATATATTTCCTTTAAATGTGCTGCAAAAGTTTTACAACATATCCTGTCATTAGTGATCTTACCTTTTTTTGAAGAACATTAATTTTTCTTTCTTTTACTTCCAACATGTCTTTCATATCTCGAATCTCTCCAGCCAGGGTTCCTTTCTCTTCTGTGAGGTCTTGAAGTTGTTTTGTTTTTTTATTGAGAAAGGTTTCTTTTTCTTCCAATCGTAACCGCAAGGCATCGACCTACAGTAAGTTAGTCAAACATATTTCAGTTTTAGTGAAGATCATTACCAAATTTTGTCATTTTAACAAGTAAAAGAGATTCTTTTACTTGTTAAAAAGTAATAAAAAATGAAAGCACTTCCAGCATCAAAGCTTGAATAGAAAAAGTCGAATAGTCAAAATATGCAATAGCATTAAACCAGTCCTACTTTGACATATGCACAAAGGACTCAAAAAAAAAAATCTTGACTCGTTAAATATATAACTCATTGAAAATAGTGTCCTGTATCCTGTATTTAATTTGCCCATTAAAACCATGAAGTGGGCAATCTGGTACTACACTCACTCCACAGGTTTGGGCACAGATCAGAAATCTAGAAACAGAATTATTCAACAAAGACATGGCAAATAAGGAAATTAAAAGGGTCTTCGCTTTTCTCCAGTATTTATAGCATAAGTCTCTTAACAAATGGGCCTTACTGTACTTTTCGGTAGCAAGCACAAATTCTTGTCAACCAAAATAATTGATATTCCAAGGATTTTCCCAAGCAGAAATCTCTTAATAAAGAACCTCACCAAATTGTTCTGCATTACATAACTGCTTGTTAAGCTTTAGAAATCCTAAAAAAATTTAAAAGTAAAAAAAAAAAAAAAACCCAAACAAACAGAAAGGGAAAAAAAAAAAAAAAAAAAACCAAACAAACAGAAAGGGAAAAAAAAAATATCAAAAGCATTCTAACAGCCCAGAAGGTGTATGTTGCCTTGATTTTCTCATTTCTTGCTGTATAAATGCTCAAGCATGCAATTTTATTATTCTCTTAATGCTCTTCAAATAGTTATCAAGTTATGGTCAAGCAAATACGCATTGGTGGTCTGGAAAAAATCCATAGATCACTTGATACTGGTTACTATTTGTATACAGTTGTTTCTATAAGCAGCTCTACTGCTAATTGCAATTAAAAGCTTGGGTACTAATGAAAGCATTTGGAAATAAGGAGGAAAAATAGCTGAGTCTTCTCCATTGCAAGAGAGAGGCAAGGGGGAAGCAGCAGCCACCTTCAAGGACAGCACCATAAATATTATCTTCAAAAAAGAGGAAAACATTTGGAGAATCACAGAACAAAGTAGTGAGAAAAAGGAAAACCTAAATGACAGGGTACTTGCTCAAGGAAATGCAGAAAGAGGGAAGTGGCTCTTTGGGGAGTATAATGAAGAAACAGGGACATATGCACAGTGTGAAAAGGCAGCCACAGCAGTAGGCATATACACATGGATCCAAGTGGAAACACACAAAAAAATGTCAAAATAGGGGAAGAAACAAGATAGGAAATCAACTTTTTTCAAGTAGATTTCATAATCCCACTTTACACCTTCAAATTCTTAGTGCCTTCTCCAGTAATACCTTTCTACATAAGCACTGTCTAGAGAAGTTACAACAAGGTAAGGTATGATTCCAAATGGAAAAGGTGTGACTCTTCACACTGTGAAGAGGAGAGGAAGCAGTCACTGTCAAGATGATCACCAATACAGTCTTTGAGAACATCTAATATATTATTCAGACTATTGGTTCTCAAGAACTTTCAAAAAGATAATCCTTAAATAAAAATATAATAATGGAAGGGAATAGAACAGATACTTAAGCAGTCTTACAGTGATGTGACAGTGGAAGTGAAACCATAAGGAAATATTGCAAGTGAAAAGTAGAGCTGGAAAATGAAGTGTTGCAAGTTTTAATGGTGCCGCTTTTTATATAGTAGAGAAGAACAAGACAATTTCAAATCTATACTGCAATAATTCAAGAATATAAAGATACTGACTGTAGAATGTAGGGGGTTCAAAACGTGATGCATCTTTGCTGACCTTGATAATTAGCAAAATGAAAAATTATACATTTCACTAAAATGGAAAGAGTAAGTAATATTATTCCCACAAGAATGTTTTATGTGTATTTTTAGGTGTATGGAAGGGTGGGCTAAGTTGCATAGACAAGTGAAGTAAGTGATAAAAAACAGAAATTAAACTGAATTGGACTGTATGTCTCTAAAATATTTATCAATTTCATTATCTAACCTAAAATATGCTGGGGGGCTTGGAGGGAGGAACTGAATTCACTAATGTCAAAGAAAGAATTCTTCATCACATAAATTCTACTTTTAATTCCTTTGTAATAAAATGTATTTTTGTAACAAAATAGTAGACATCTCAATTCATTAAAGCAATAGAATATGTTTGGGTTGAACCATCAGTGCTGCAAAAGTTGCACTTTACATGCACTGGTCCCTTCAGTGAACACTTCTACTAAATCATACCTGTTTCCACATTCTGGTTCAGAAATGCAGTTACAAATTAATCACTGAGCAGCTCACAGGCAACACAGCATAGAACACTGGATAGGGGGGGTTTTAGGTCAAAACCAGATTTCATCATATATCAAGTTTACAAAGACCAAAAGAGACTTTTTTTTTTTTTTTTTTTAATGTGAGCCTCATTTTTGAAGGCTAATTTGTAAATAAAATAATACAATAAAATACAGTATACCCATGAAATTTTTTCAGCACTTTTAAACATCATAAGAGATCAACAAAACCACCACACTGTTAGTGTTAAGCATTATGGATTCAATTCTGCATTCCTTGTGCAAGTCTCAAACTCTCAAATTCAAGCCTGGGGTACGGAAATCAAGGAGTTTATTCTTAGTGAAATATTTCAGTTTTCCAGAAGGCTGGCTAACACATCAAAACTTAGAGTCCGGGAGAGGAGAGGCTAAAAATACTGCTATAGACCTACTTCTATATTTGCCCTTCCACTCCACCCAGAGAGAAAGAGACACTATGCAGCACAGAAAGCACACGGAAGTGGCAACATGGGCATGCAGAACTTTTGCATGGCTCGCAAGCCATTAGAATTACATTACAATTTCATTTCATCTAGAGAACTAAGATAAAGAGAGTGCAATCATTTGTTACTACAGATTTCCTTGAACAGAGGCTGTTTTTCTGATACTGTTTTCTTCTGCAGCTCTGAAACCATGAGGCATTCACATTAAGTGGATCCACACAGGCTTGTTTTGGCTGCAAGGTACACCACTGAGAAGACAAGGTTCTGATTGAAAATATATGATGTGGCAATCTAGAATAATTCTCCGTCTACAAGACAGCTGCAGGAAGTCAGGCAAGTGAGAAATTTTAGATTCACTAATTCAAATTTCAAACATAAAAATGTCAGAAAAGAATGAACTAGGATTTAAAGTTTACATTACCTAGAAATTCATAAAGTTTATTCATATTAAAAAGCTAGACGGAAGTAACTAGAAGGGCATAAATGTAAGTTTAGCATTTTTAAGTTCTGCAGTTGGAATAGTCAGAAAAGGTGATATGTACTAAGCACTTTTTTCCTAATCAGAACATTATTTAAGTACAAAACAATCAGCAAATCTAATTTATTTTTATTTATATTCTGAGTTTAGTAATGCTAAATTTATTCAAAGCAAAAGTCTTTGCAATGCCATTTAAAAACTTGTTTTGGGACCAATTTAGATGATCTATTGGATCTCGAAATGCATGTTCTTCCTGCTCTTAAAATGGCTCATTGCTTTTCTATTCACTGGAAAAAAGATTTATACTCTATTGGATTTATTTTATTTTTAAGACTTTTTTACAATATTACAGTAATGGAATCTTGCAGTTTGTAAGCAGTGTGCACTATGAGATTCAGTGATGACTTTTTAAGTTAGAAAACAATAAATAGTAGTAGCAGAAACTTTCAGATCTCTTAATAAACATGAAAGACCTCATCTGAAACTCATTACCACATCTTCTTTATACTTAATCACTTATTTGCCTCATGTCTGAAAGCAATCCCTTAAGTCAAATCACAAAAATCTCTGTTGGGCCTTTAAATTGCAGCTGAGAAGCTCGTCATAACATTGCAGCGGGAGCTCCCAAAGGGGTTCTCTTCAGTCAGGCACGGCAAGTCTCATTTTCCAACTGCTACTAGGCAGAAGCTTAATGCTTGAAGTTAAAGGGAGTGGAAGGTGATTAGACCCACCGATAAACAAAGCGCCAATATCATTCCCTAGTGACTGGGATAACACAACAGCTTACACATGTGCTGGTACAGTTCTGTTCTGCTTGGCTGAACCAGTCAGTTCCTGAGTCAATAGTCTTTTCTTCGCTACCCACTCAGTCCCCACCCTAAGGGCTGAGCAGACAATTCTCGCTCTTCTTCACAGATTTCTTCCCACACACTCTGTCATCACAGCTCACTAGATTCAACTCAGGAATGGGGATTTTAGGCACTAAAACTTGGGAGTGCAAGGAGAGTTGAGAGGAAGAGTAGATGGCTCTGAAGTTCCAGAGGAAGAGTAGATGGCTCTGAAGTTCCAGTTCCAGTTGAGTGACAACCTGTGTGGGAAAGGGGAGCAGAGCCCTGTCCACTCCAGTTTCTCAGACCTCGATCCTGCCCTCACACAGCCATTAATTAAAGGGCATAACATGACAACCTTTCTGCATTTCCTTTCACCACCAGCCAGCTCATAACACAACTACTATGTCATTTCTATTCCCTAAATAAAGACACAAATTCAAGCTGGAAGGACGAGAGAAGTTACATGGTGGATTTCTTTCACATCAAAAAGAAACACATTCAGAACTCCACAGCAGAGCTGTAGTCTCCATCTTTCCTTTCACTGGTTTGCGTTCAGGCCATCCACACAAAAACTTTTAAGTTAGCACAAGGGTTATGACCTTGACTGTGCCACAGAGTACCAGGCACCTAGTATTTCAGAGTTGTCTGGATTGACTCTAAATGCAGAAACAGATTGTTTTCTTGTTAATGCCATAAATAGATTACTCCACATGTCTCCATGTGGATAGTTCACACCTTAGATAAATTTCTTCAGCTCCATGGTAACTTTTTAACGCTTATTAATGAACACTTGTGTGTTTGAGGTGAATTGCATTCTTCCATAAGCAGTTGCACATCAACTTAAGATCTGAATATATTTAGACCTAAGCAGTGTA